TGCTGACGCAATCCTTGACTTCAGTTCATCTTTGGTGTTACAAGGAGTTTTGTTGGTCACTCGTTCAACTGCACCCTACACATAAATAACGTTGCCATCACTAGGGATCACTATAAACCCCTTCGTAATCACATTAGACTCATCCAAATCAATCCGAATCCTCTTCACTCTCCTCAAGTTGACACCCCGACAGTCTGAAATGTTCGTTTTAGAGCTGCTAGTGCAAGTTTTTCTCAAAGACGGTGCCCAAATGAACGTACTATACTGTGCAGTCGACAAAATCAAAAACTAATTTTGCGCAAAATGAATAATATAAAATTGTGACAATTAACACAGCGCATTCTCTCTCTTTTTGTATATATATATATATATATATATATATATATATATATATATATATATATATATATATATATGTATAATTATTTTCTATTTTAATAGTATGGTTTAGTCACTACACAGGAATTATCATGTTTCAAAACAGAAACTAAAATTTTAAATTTAATTATAAAATTAATTTTAAAATCCACGGCTTTATTTTCAAGCGAGTTTTGGAATAACCTATTAAGAATTTTACTTAATTTATAAGCACAGACCATTTTAATATTTTAAGTTGTTAAGGTTACGGAGAATTCAATTATTTTGATAAGGGGTGGTTGGGTTTTAATTTCCCTAGATAATGTATCAAAATCAGGTTAAGTTAAGGTGGGGGTAGGAGTTCCTTCTTATAAACAATGACATTCGTTTTTCGTGTGTCGTCTGGGTTTTTCAAGGATAAAAAGACTTTGGAATTTTATTTGGCCGCTTAATTTATAATTTTATACACAAATGTCTGGAGAATATTGGGTTCCGTCAGGCTGTCTTGCTCAGGAAACACCCCATCTGCTGCGGCTGCAGTACATGTGGCGCTCCTCCGAATCTAAGCGGTTACGGGATCAGTGATCATGATTTTCTGAATATAATGTTTTAAATAATAAGAAATAATGGCGGATGATGAATAAAAATCCTTTAATTCCTATGAAATTACTTTGTTTACGTTTTGGATACGAAAATAAAAATTATCAGATATGGGCTTCGAGGCATCCGAACAAGAGTTATACGTTTCTTAATAGGGGCACCTCAAGGTAGTGTAATGGTTAGCAAGCTTGTCTCGATAGAACAATTACAACTGAGTAGTGAGTTCGATCCTCACTGGGTACCCCTTAATTTCGGCGTTGTGCCACATCTAAGCTATGCTTGGAAAATCACTATACGTTTCTTAATACGTTGACTGCCAGGTATATTTACCCGGTCATCCCACTAAGATAAGATGTGACACAAGGTCATTTTAACGTAGGGAACGCCATACATATACGTATGCATATGGGGCAAGGACAGACATTTTTGCCTAGTCTATGCAACAACTGTTACAATGGCAACGATATTACACCGACACCATCACTCTTACTATAATGAGGAAGGTGCTGACGCAGGGCTGGAATCCCCGGGACTGGGCAGTTCTCCCATCTGAAAAGAGGAGAAACGTTTACTTTAGTTCCGGCACAAAAGTTAACTCATGTGCCGAAGGTCAATTACGAAATCTGTCTACAAGCACCAACTTTGTAAAAGATCTAACTTAGACAACAAAACAATTTGATCAGTTGATTTATAGCTTCAACTAAACTCTTAACATTGTTTTCATAGTTAAAATTATCACTGCGAATAATCTTGTTGTTCGCCCCCGCATATGAAAATGTATCAGAAATGGCCAAGTACGAGATATCTCGCACTGACAACGAGATAACTCATAGTCGGCGTCATAATAAAAATAGTCAACCACAAAATTATCTAGTGGTTGACAGACAATGTATTAAATAGGTTAATTATACTTTGTTTGATTGTGAAAGATCTTCTGTGACTGTTCGCTGTATAAGCACGCCAACGTTATGGCGATATACAAAGTTTAGCTAAGATATGGCACAAGGCCGAAAGTATGGAGCATCTAGTGACGATCGAACTCACTACTGAGTCGTAATTGAATTAGCAAGACAAGCTTGCTAACCATTACACCACGTCGAATTGCCCAGCTTACCAATGTTGGTCATTAATATTTGTGTGGTGCCAAATGGATGGGAAAATTCCATTTTTGTTGTCGACGCGAGATAACTCGTACTCGGTGTGAGATAACTCATAATATAACATGGTTGACAGTCAATACACAAATATACCCATTTGGCAGATCAATAATAAACGTGTATTTCCATTTCTCTTGTCTTATATATATCAGTCAGATATGTGCCATGCGTGATACACGCTTAAGCGATCATGTATCTTTCGATACATGAATGACGAGGCAGATTTTTTCCCGCAGTAGGTTACCATTTCTTTCTGCAGTAGACCAGTTGGCATACAAGGCTATAGAACCCGGTCTGTCCTTCTATTTGATCATAGCTGGGAGTCTTATATATATATATATATATATATATATATATATATATATATATATATATATATATATATATATATATCAGGTCATCCCATAAGTTCTGTCCGAATTTTAAGTTTTTGTTAAAATGAACGAAATTTAAAGAGTATTTTATAATATTTAATGGAGCTGAACATTATTTTTATGTTTAGATGCATTCAAACTGATCAAATTTTATTTCAGAGAACAATAAAATTAAAATTTGTTTGATTAAAACCCTGCTAACATGGAAGTACCCAAGAATCATTTGAGGCACATAATGCTTTATGAGTTCAAGAAAGGAAACTCAGCAGCCAAAGAGGCTAGAAACATTCACTCAGTTTATGGAGAGGAATATGTGAATGAAAGAACTTGCAGAAGATGGTTTGCAAAATTCAGAGGTGGAGATTTCACCCTTGAAGATGAAGATCGAACCGGACGTCCAGTTGAGTTTGATGAAAAGCTTCTTGAAGCAGCCCTTGAAGAAAATCCTGCTTTATCAGTTGAGGAATTGGCAGTGGTTCTCAGTTCAAACCATACAACTGTTCATCGTCATCTTCAACAACTTGGAAAAGATCCTAAACTTGGAAAATGGGTCCCTCATTGATTGTCTGAAAACAACCTCAAATCCCGAAGTGACATCTGCTCTTCTCTCCATTCTCGCCAACTTGTTTCACATTTTTTGGATAGACTTGTGACTGGCGACGAAAAATGTATCTTTTATCGAAATGTTAAGCGTCGTAAACAGTGGCTTGGTAAAGGGGAAGGACCCCATCCACAGCTGAGAAGGGAACTTCATGGGCAAAAAGGTTCTTCTTTCAATCTGGTGGGATCGCCAAGGAATAATCCACTTTGAATTCTTACCACCTAATGCAATAATTAATGCTCAAATATATTGTCAGCAATTAGAGCGTTTGAACCAAGCTTTGAGGAAAAAAAGACCTACTCTAGTGAATCGAAAAGAGGTGATGTTTCATCAGGACAATGCGCGACCCCACACAGCAAGAATCACGTGAGAAAAGATCGATTTGGTTGGGAGAAAATTCCTCATCCACCTTATTCTCCCGATCTTGCTCCTTCAGACTACCATTTGTTTCGTAGCTTACAGAATCATTTGGAAGAAACAGCTTTTGTAACTCAGGAAGAGGTTAAAACTGACATTTGTGAGTTCTTCGAATCAAAGCCAAAATAATTTTACAGTAATGGAATTAGTAAGCTTGTTAATAGATTGAAGGAAGTCATAGATAATCAGGGAAAATACATTGTTGATTGAATCTGTAATTAAATGTAACATTTGGTCACTTGTTTTCTTTATTCAAAATTCGGACAGAACTTATGGATGACCTGATATATATATATATATATATATATATATGTCTGTTTTCATGTTAGACGCAATCGTCAGGCCTGGTGATTGCGTCTAACATGAAACAGACTGTCGCCTCTAAGTGTTGACTTCAATGTTCCTTTATATATATATATATATATATATATATATATATATATATATATATATATATATATATTGAATAAAACAGATCATTTTAAGGTTCCATGTAATAAGTTATTTTACCACAACCCTATTACAGGGCTCTGGATCATCAGATTTTACTTCCAAAAGTTGAAATGAAGTTTTTTTTTTTTCATTTCAACTTTTGGAAGTAAAGTCTGATGATCCAGAGCCCTGTAAAAAATAACTTATTACATGGAACCTTAAAGTGGTCTGTTTTTATTCAAACATATTTGCTCTGAATTTACATTGAGCTCTCTGGATATCATCCTCTTTGGGTCTACCCATACGGATTACCTAGTTTTGCATAAACTATATATATATATATATATATATATATATATATATATATATATATATATATATATATATATATATAATTTTACTTTTAATGATTTAACACGTTGTCTTCCAATTACAGAATCAAACTTCAAACGCCAACCATTTAATAACCAACTTAGGCAATAATTTTTTTTTATGAGTTGATTTCTCGCTTCAACTGAAGTCATAACGTTTTCGCACTGAAAGTGTCACTGCAAATAAACTCTATTTTGGCGACCGCAAGTGAAAAGGTAGCAGAAAATGCCAAGCAAGTGTTAACTCGTAACCGCCACGAGAAAGTTGTGGAGAGACATACTCGGACACTTCCTAAAGGTACATAAGAGAACCAGAATAAACTTTTTTTCTTTTGGCATCCAGTCTATAATTTATAAATTTCCCAATATTCTTACTAAATCAACGCTGGTGTGTTCATGTTTATTTCGTTGGAAAGGGTTAAAGTTATTTTAAGGAAAACTTTTTTTTTCTGTATTATCAATTCAACTAATATTGAAAAAAGTTCTTTTCATTTCACAAAGAAAGTTAACTTTGATTGATTTAAAAAAAAAAACTAAGAAAAGTTTGTTTTTTTCCTTTGAAAGTTTTTATTTCCAGTTTCCCTCTTGTATTTTTTTCTCCACGCCTTTGACGTCGACCTCTGCTCTTGTCGTCTGTTCTTATTTGACAAAATGTTCTTCATTTTGTGTTCTGTTCTTTCTCATCACGTAGTTTTGTATTCATGTCTTACGTCTTTTTTCTCTGTTTTTCTTCTTTTCCCTTTCTTCTCTTTTTCTTTTTTCTCTCTTCTTTCATGCTTTCTTTTTTCTGCCTTTTCTTATTAACTGTTTCTTTACACTTTCTTTTATTTCCGTACATTTCTTCTTTCTTCTTGCCGTTTAACTATGCTTTTTCTTTCTTTCTTTCCTTCTTTCTTTCTTTTTCATTCTGGGCTTTGCTAACAAATGTTTGCTTTCTTTTCGGATATCTTTCTAGGTTTTACTTAAAATTAAGTGTAAACGAAGTTTTAAACAAGAAATTAATTATTCTTTATTTTGATAAAACTCCACTATCTTTCATTCATTCATTATTTATTTATTTATTTATTTATTTATTCTTTCCTTCCTTCAATCCTTTCTTTCATTCTTTCTGCATCGGTTCGTTCTTTCTTTCTTTTCTAAAACTCTGTTTGATTGTTTCTTTCTTTTCATTTTTCTTCCTTCTGGGTTTTTATAGTTTTCTTTCTTTCTTTCTTTCTTTCTTTCTTTCTTTCTTTCTTTCCTAAAAAAATCGCTTTCTTTCTTTCTTTATTTTATAAAAAATCACTTTTTCTTTTGTTTATAAAAATATGAATTCTTTCTTTCTTTCATAAAGTTCGCGTTCTTTCTTTGTCTATAAAAAATTGTTTTCTTTCTTTTTCCCATAAAAAATCACTTTCTTTCTTTATAATAATTTGTTTTTTTTTTCTTCCTTTATTTCGTCAAAATTCGCTTTCTTTTTTCCTCATAAAATTGTCTCTCTTTCTTTATTTCTTCCATGAAAATTCGTTTTCGTTCTTTACTTATAAAAATCTGCTTTCTTTGTTTCTTTCATAAAATACGCTTTTTTTCTATATAAAAAAATCACTTTTTTCTTTCTTGCTTGCTTGCTTTTATAAAACACTTTGTTTCTTTCATTTCAAGTTTCTTCCTTCTGTTTTTTATGATAATTCTTTCTCTCTTTTTTGTCATTATTCATTCATAAGTTCATTGTATTCATTTCTTCTTCATTCTTAATAACAACAAATATTTGTTTTCTATTTCACTCATTCCAAAGTCTTAGCCTTCTTCTTTCTCTCAACTGTCATAATTATCGCCATTATGTCTTCTCTTGTGTTGTTTTTCCCGTCCACCTTCCTCTTCTTCTCCCTCCTCTTGCTCCTCCTTCTCCTCTTGCTCCTCCTTCATCTTCTTCTTCTTCTTCCTCCTCCTTCATCTTTTTCGTCTTCCTCCTGCTCCTCCTCTTCCTCCGTCTTCTTCTTCTTCTGTCACGACGACGACTACATTTTCTTCATCTCTTCTCTCATTACAGCCCTAATCATTATCACGCGGACTGTCAACAAAATCTCTTTCGCTTTTCTCTATTCTCTCTTTCTCTCTCTTTCATCAGTCTTCTTTTTGAATCACTCAACTTGACAAACACCGTCCGCCATTTCTCCTAACGAGTTTCCGCCAACACAGGGAAAAATCAGTGCAGAATTTTACCTGACACAAATTACCGACTTTCCGACAATACATTTCCTTTAACGTTCTCTTTTTTTTTTTTTTTTTGTTTAAAATTTCCAGTTTTTCTTTTTTTTTTTGCCGTCCATTTTGCATATTTATTCATTTATTAATTTACAATCTGAGAAACGAATATTTTTTTTCTTTTTTTAAAAATATATTCCGAATTTTTTCTTCTTTAATTTGTTGCCTTCGTTCTTGTTTGTTTAGGAGTCAGTTAATTGCAAAGAATATTTTTTTAAGAAAAATAACAATATAAAAAATTCAACTTAAGATTCAAAGAAGAAAATGTTTCAGGTAAGGCGATAACAACAGAGGAAATCATAATGATGATAGGATTGATAGTATCGATAATGGTAATTATAGCACTCAGGCAACATCATTTCAAATGACAATATTGATCGTGATACTAAAGACATCATAAAATAACAATGCTAAAGACTTTCGATAATAACGGTATTTGTTATCGAATCAAAATAATAAAATTACTATATGACTAACAAGGTTGATTATAATATCAACGATGAAATTTTAAGGTCTACGAAAAGTATTTTCTTTTTTACAAAGCTTTACGTGAGAATATATTTGATGTACACAGCTGAAGGCCATAAGTAATTTCTATGAAATTAAAGGATTTTATTTTTAATCCTAGATTATTTATTATTACTTTAAATGTTATATTTTTCTGGAACACATGTTTGAGTAAACGCCCTGTTTTTTTTTATATTAGATTTCCAGAAGATCTGAACGAGAAGATATACATTCCTTATAAGTCACACATGTCTGACATATAAACTTCCCTGTGGCCAAGCGCTTGAAAGCCTGCCGGATCATATGATGGTTTCTCCTACAAAGGCAGACGCGAGTTCGAGCCTTGACAGAGGATACATTTTCTTCATTAAGCTTCTCGAATGCACATAACGGTAAATGATGTTCAAACAGTTAAACATCAACAACAACAAAAACAAAACAGGTTGTCTATTTGAACACGTGTGCACGAAATCATAAGGTTTAAAGATATAAGAAGCTAAAGATTCCAAGATGGCTCTTATGAAAGATTCCGATTGCTTGCGTCCGAATTCTTAATTCAAAATTTTTTTTTTAAAGCATCATAATCAACAACTGATGGTCGTCTATTTGGGCATTTCATTTATGGGTAGATGTCACCATATTTGAATCTCTTCAACAAGTGCTGGAGAGGAGATCTTCTAAGCGTAGATTAGATGTGGCACAAGGCCGAAATTATGGGGCACCCATTGAGGACTGAACACACTACCCAGCTGTAATTGTTCTAGCGGGATAAGCCTGCTGGCAATTATTCCACTTCGAGGTGCCCTAATGGTGATTTTCTAAGCGCAGCTTAGATATGGCATAAAGCCGAAAGTATGGGGCACCCAGTGAGGATCGAACTCACTACTCAGACGTAACTGACCTAGCAAGACACGCTTTCTAACCATTGCACCACGTCAAGGTGCTCCAACCAGTGTTGGAGAGTATGATCAGATATTGTTTCATTTCCTTCCACCTCCCAAATTCTGAGAGTAGTTTCCGTAGTGTTGGAGCCCAGTTTCAAACCAAACTATACAATTGCCAAAATCTCAATACACGTATCCGTCATTATAATGCTTGAAACCAACAATCCTGTATAATAATAATAATAGTAATAATAATAATCGTGATCAAAGACCACAAGAAAGGAATGTGTTTTCTTATTGACATGGCAGTCTCTGCAGATTGTAATATATCTTTGAAGATCTTCAAAAAATATCATAATTCAAGGATCTTGAATATTGAAATCTCAAAAACGTGGTGAAGAAGGACATCAAAAATTTCACTTGTAGTTGGAGCCCTCGGATTGATTGGAAAAATGTTCCGATAGACACATTGAAGGGATTCCTGGCAGACCGTGCCTTAAAGAAATACAAAAAATTGTGCTCATAAGAACAAATCACACATTACGAAGACCTTTATCTATGTAAAATGTGTATGATCTTAGGTTTTTTTTACAAAAATGATCAGAGGAAAATGTCCTGAAGTCATTTCTGACTTTAGATCTATTTTTGGGACCCGGAAGGAAACGTGTATATAACAGAAATCAAAAGAAATAATAATAATAATTTAGTGGCGGCTTCCAAACATACATGAAATAATCTTTGGGTTAATATCTGTCAAGAAGCGAGTTGATGAGAATGATAGATGTATAAAGAGAACAATGATAATGAAAAACAAAGAGTTTTACACACTTAAAAAAAAGATAGAAAGAAGAAAAGAGAGGAAATCGAGAGATACGGCGAAAGAGAGAGAGAGAAAAAAAGTGAGAGTTTTCGAAGTCAAGAGACAAAACGAGACAAAAAGAGAGTTTTAGAAAAGAAGAGAGAAAAACAAAAAGCAAAGTAAGTGTATTAGATAAAAAAGTGAGAAAGACAAAGAGAAAGCTAGTTAGGGAGAAGATGCACGGTGGGGTCTGTATTTTTCAAATGTAATTATAATATGTTTGCATGATTTCTGCAGCTAAATGTAAGCGTCCTTCTTTCATTGCTTCTGTTGTAAGTATTTGCATAGGAAAATATTGGCTTTTCTTTGACAAATATATAGAGTGACTATTTCACGAAGACACACCAGAGAATATACGGGCCACATACAACAAATAGTTGGGAAAAGACTGAAAAAAAGAAAATAAGTTTGTTTGTTTTTTTTTTGTTTTTTTTTTAATAAAAGCGCGTAGTAAAGAAACCAGTAAAGATAAACATATCAAATTTACAATTTGATCTTTCAAAGATTACGAAGAAATGGGCGCATCAGGAATAAAGGAATGATTAGTTTCATACTTATGTAGAGAAATCGAAAGCCTTTACAACATCTCAAACCTTCTTCGGTTATTTATGTCTAAATTTGTTTTTTTATTATACAGGGTGTTTCAGAAAAAAAATCATCATTTGATAATCTTAACCAATTCACGTTAAAATGATTGCAAATTTTAAGAGCATGCGAAGAAACAACTCAAAATGTTATATTTAATGTTTTCTTTTTTTCAGGTATAGAAATGCCAATCACTGGGAAAGAAAAAACCTCTTTGTGTGTTCGACTATGCGCGAACACAGTCAGGTAAGACGATGGATTTGTGAGAGAATTCGCTAAAAATACACCTGGGGACTGCGTATTTGGCAGAAGCTGGACGACCGACTTGACGTCTGCCGTCTCACAAGATGTTCGCATCTATCTATGTATAAAATCTTGTGACTTCCGTTAGTCCGTCTGTCACACCTTCTAAAATAGCCATACATTGACCGGTTGGAACCAAATTTTGGGAAGTGCAGACAGGCAAGGAATACAAAGTATAGCTGGTTTTACTAGGGTCCGTATCTTAGTACAATAAATTTTGATTAAATTTTGGGGGAAAAATTAAAAGTTTTACTATTTAACATACAAAATACATCAACTATTTTATAAAAAAAAAATAATGATTAAATAACAAATGCTTATTTAATAAAAATGCAGTATTTTTTGCATATCATTTCTTTAATTTAAGCATTATATTAATATTTAATATATCCTGAAATTTTGGATTACCACGTTTTCATTTAATTGTTTTCGGTGATTTTTATTTTTTACGTGATTTTTTTTGATGAATTTTTGTTCCAAAACAATTTTTATAACTTGGAAATAAATTTGGGTATAATCGAAATTAATTAGGAAATCCAACGAAAGTCACACATGAAATAAAAATAATTGTTTGTGTGGAAAGTAAGAACCTACGTACATCAAATTGTCTTTATATTAAGTGGCGCCAAAAGAATTATTGTTTAAAAGATAATCTTAAATATTAATACAATGCTTAAACGCAGTGATCAATATTGAGTTCTTCTGTAGCTTATTGTTGTCTATCGCATCTATTCGACCCTACCTATTTTGATGAAGGCCCAATCAAGAGCCCTCCGCCCGATATATATATATATATATATATATATATATATATATATATACTCGCGTATCTTGTAGCTTTTGATGACCTAATTTTGAAGCTAATTTTAAAGGGGTCGCATCATACACGAGATATAAAACTCGCGTATGTACTACTGGCCATGGTTATGACGTTGACAAATTAATATCCATTTACTGTAGTCAAATGTACACCTACATTTAAAATAAAGATGAGTTTGATAAAACTGATGTTTTACTTAATTGTATCAAATAATGCATGTAATATTCACATATTTGTATCGTATTGTATTTACATTATTCGGACTATTGTCCTCATCTTTGTTGCCATATTTATCACAACGTTTCGGCCGTTGTACGCTCCGGCCTTCTTCAGGTGGTTGGAATTTCGAACTGAACCCTTTATTTCGCTCACTGGGGTAGACTGTTCTACTAGATAGATGTCAGTTATCTCATGCTAATTTTCTCTCTGAAAGTTCTCCACTGCCTTAACCGAACCGGGTATTGAACTCACAGTCTTTGGGTCTGTCACTGGATCTAACCAACGCCTTTATCCACTGCGCCATGTGTCCTTGAGGAATATAGACAGACTCTAGTATCGTATTATGAAATACAAACGTAACTAATAGGCATATTTTCCATTGTTTACGTTTATAAGATGTTTAGCGGTTTCAAGTTCGGTTGAACACGTTTACGAAATGACTAAGGATATTTTTATCATTCTCTTTTACTTTTTTTTACAACCTAATATTTTCAAGGTAATTACCGTATATACTCACGTATCGTTCGACTTTTGAAAACCTAATTTGGGAGCTAATTTTAAGGAGGTCGCATCATACATGTGATTAGCGTATGTACTGCTGGTCCTGGCTACGCCGTTGACCAAACTATATATCCATTTACTGTAGTCAAAAAGTACAGTTGTATTTAAAATAAACTTGATTTTAGAAAAAAATGATGTTTTACTTAACTGTATCCAATAATAATGCATGTAATATTC